CCCGATTTTCCCAGGAAATGGGAGGATCATGATGATCGCTTAAGAACTCATTTTCTTAGGCATGCATTTCTTTATAAGGAGTCTAATTAAGTGACACATTGTATTGATTTAAATTGTTGACAATAATCAATATGATTAACGATTAACAAATTAATTTTACAAACCACTAAATTACGTTAACAAAATAAAAAATGGCAAGTGATGATGAATAATATGTACCTTGTGGTCATTCCAAACATTCCTTGAACGATGATTATCTTGGTCGTATAACACAGTCGGATCAATCAGTCCTTGATCAACATAATATCTTTGATTGTAGATATCAACATCCTCACCAACCTACGATAGCATAACAAAAAACATAAATCAATTAGTATATAGATTAAATAAAAGCATTACAACACCAACAAATTTTAGGTAAAATGAGTACGTACCGCTTGATAGTCATCATAGTAAATACCCTCTTCTTCAAAAAAATCGGCCATTTTTTCAGTAAACGGACAAAGACCGCCCTCTTCTTCATAATTTTCCCCCAACAAAAACCGCCCTCCAAGCACACGGGTTCCTTTTTTCCAGACTCAAACCGCGCCCCCGAGAGGCGGTTTTCAGTGGAGACGCGAACCGCTTAGTTGGCAGGCGGTCTCGCCGTTGGATTGCCCCCTTATCCAACGGTTACCAAAAACGCCGCCTTGGGAAGTTGTTTGTGGTCTTCTCCAAGAGAAATCGCCCCTTTGCAGTGCGGTTTTCTCTATAACCGCCTCTCCGTGGTGCGGTGTTTAATTAAGGGTGATAGATTTGAAATTTTTTCAGTTTGGGTGGTGGTTTTGTAATTTTTTTAAAACAGTGGTAATTTTGGACTTTTTCCGCACAAGTATGGAGTTATGAAAAACAAGTCTCTACTATGTAAAAACGACATACAAACTAATATGCAAAGAGCTGACAAACACCTAGGCTAATAGAGAGGAAGCAGATGGTGCATAAAATGAGGAATCATAGGAAATATAAGGAGTTGTGGAGGCTTATGATGTGATGAATTGAAACGAATGTGGAAACTGGTCTTCCCTTAAAAGGTGAAAGTATTCCTGTGGCGGGTCATGCATAACATACTACCAACAGGAAAGAATTTAGAAGGGTTGAAAGAAGGATGTCACTACGAAATGTCATTTCTGTAATCTAGAAGAGACACAACAACATATCTCCAGGGAAGGCCAATGGGAAATCAGAGTCTGGAGACCCACTGTTTTCAAACCATTGTCTGAAATGGAGCCTAACATAACACAGGGAAGCTAGATTTTTGAAGTGATGGAGAATGTTGATGATGAAACTATGAGTCAATTTGGGATGATCCTATGGGCGATTTGGAACAAGCGTAACAACAAGATGCTTAACAACGAAAAATATGAAGAATGAGAGATTGTTGGCAAAGCTTTAGACTACTGGGAAGAATTCAACTCATATCACACAAAAGAGAAGCTAGAAAGACAAGTGAAAGCTCGTACCTAGGAACCACCACCGATAGGATGGATCAAAATGAACGTGGATGCGACTATGATGAAAGGCGAAGGAGCTGGCTTCGGGGTGGCGGTTCGCGACGAGAACGAGGACTTCCTGCTCGATGCAGTCCATCGGGAAAGGACCATTTATCCACCGGAGCTGGCAGAAATCAAGACGATTGCATTCGACCTCCAACAAGCAGTGATGCACGACTTCCATTCCGTTATCGTCGAGACGGATTGTTAGGTCGCATTTCTCGCTTTGCAGAGGATGAGCAAACAAGAATGGAAGTCAAACCGATTCTTCAGGAACTCAAATAAGAGGCGAAGATTTTGGGATCACTATTGTGGCATTTAGCCAAACGAGAGTGTAATGGAGCAGCACATGTGATGACCCATATAAAGTAGGAAACCCATGAGTTTTGATTTTTATAGACCACCGATTTTTCTCCTTCCCAGTTTGAATAAGAAACTCATAATGCATTAATTGTTTAATACATTATAGATGTTACTATAATAATAAAAAATATTTTTTTTTTCTGAAATAGTTGAGTTCGAATTATTAGAATATTTTCTTGTTCAACTTATATCCCTAATTATTTGTGTTTGTTCTTTTTACAATTGGGAAAAGAGTAGAAAGAATGCTACTCTTATATAGTGACATAATTTTTTCAAAACTACACAATCATACTTATCAAACAATGTAATGTAGAACCCACTAAATTTTTTAATATATACATCATTATATACTTATATATTCATCCCAATTCATATATTTAGCATCAAGATTTATTAGACAACAAAATTTACCAAGGGTAAATAAAAGGCAAAATACACGTGCGTAGTCAACACTTTGACGGTTTAGCCAATAATAGCCACTTTTGACTAAATAACAAAAATAGCCACTTCAGTCCAATTATTTAACGCTGTCATCTAACATGCTAATTGTACTAACGAAAAAGCCGACTTGTCAACTTTTTGGTCAATATCAATATGAGGTGGAATTAATTCAAAAAATAAAGATAATTTATTAAACATTTCTTTTATTTACTCTCTGCCCCCCCCCCTTCCGTTCCCCCAGGCCCAGCCGCCCCTCATCTCATTGCGGTCTCCCTCTCTCCACCGAAAATCTCCCCTCGACGGTAGTGGTGAGTTCGAAACATAGGGAGAATTAAGACACGACTTAATTAGCCTTCTTCAGCACGCCGCCATTGCTTTTCAGCGGCACCGGCCGTTGTCGATGTCACTGTTTGTGTAGTCCACGCAAAAAGTGCCAAATCAAAAACTCAATTCCAACCCTAGAATCTCCCCCTATTGAATCGATGTCGTTGTTGGTCCTCTCCTCTAACCATCTTTGCATCAGGGTGCAGGGGAGGTAGTGACCGAACAATGGGGAAAGGCAACAGTTCCTCGGTCAAAGCGAAGATGTTGATATGGACCAGTGATGGGAGCCGGCGGCGTCGGCAAATTCCAAATTGGGGTATGGATCGAAAACGATAGCGGCGCTTACTTGGGTCTCGTTTTTGCTTCTGTTTGCTGTCATTAAAGTTGGTTTGGGAGTATGAGAGGAGCTAATGGTGGTTACCGACAATGGCGTGTGTCCGCATATCTTCATAGGGGTCTTGATTGGGAACGTCGATTGAGAAGAGGTGAAGGCATATTGGGATTCTCTGGAGTCACTTCTCCTCGGTGACGGGTGATTGCATTTGGATTTTGAGTTTTTGCTAGATCGGAGATGGGGATTTGCTAAATGCCTAAATCAGAGATGGGGTTGAAAGGAAGGGGGGAGAGAGAGCCCCAATTAGTCGAACCCCAGAAAGATGGAGATTGGAGAAGAGGAAAAGAATGGGTGAGTGGGGAAAATAGAATTTTTTTATTTCAATTTTTTTATAATTAAATAATGAAGATAAATAATTGCAAAAGAATAACATTAATTATTTTATTTCTTTAAATATTTTATTTCTTTAATTTTAATTAAAATAACTCGTGGCAATTACATGGCACCAACAGCTGAGTTGTCGTTGATATGTGCAATGACTTGGCATCCTAGTCAGCCTAACGTTAACCTATCTGACAGAGTTTCTAACACCGTTAAAGTTTGTAACGGAAATGGCTATATTTGTTATCAAACTTTTAAAAATTTAGCTATTTTTGATATTTCACTAGAAGTGGCTATTATGTCACAAACGGCAAAGTTTTGACTACAGATGAATTTTGCCTAAATAAAACTATTGTATTTGCTGCCGTGTTACCCTTTGTATTTTTTTTCTTTTTGTTATTTACTTGGTCCTTAGCTCGAGATTCTTGTCCCACCCACTTGTCTTTTTGTTTCCGACTAGTACCCACAGTTTTTGTTGCCAGTGCCATGCATTTCTCAAGAAACACACAAAAAGAGCGCAGCCCCATTGATTCTCCTACATCTCTACTCCCCATCTAGAACATCATCAGGAACAAAAAATTAAAAAAACAGTGGTTAAAAAGAAAAGATTCGAAACAGTGATTGCAGTCCCCAAGAGAGAGAAGAGAGATATCACTTTTATACACTTGCCATTAATCGGTACCAACTACCAACCCGGCCGCTCTCTACTTCCCTGCCAATATATATTTAGGGGTGTACATGGGTCGGGTGATTCGGGTTTAGTCATTTTAATCATCCGACCAATGCACTACGGTTTGGGAAATATCAAACCCAAACCCACCAAAAAAAATTTAAACCCTACAGTTTGTTTCTAATTGGGTTGGGTCGGGTTGGCGATATTTTTAAGTAAAAACCCAACCCAACATAAAATATATAATTATTCTATATCATAAAAATATTTTATAACTAATTAAAATTTCAAACGAATGAACCGAGGTGAAAGGTATCAAAATTCACAAATATTGTTTGAATTTTAATAAAATGTGATCTACTTCAACATATATCTTGTTTTTTTCACAATATTTGTTGAAATAGGCTAAAAATGTTATAAACAAACGCACCCATAATAAGTTATTCTATTAAAATTGTACACAAGAAAAAAGGAATACGTGAATCATAACTATATTCAATTTATGTCTAAACTTTAAGTCGAAGAATGCATTAGATTAGGGAGACCATGAGAGATAAACATGCCGAAATATCTTAATTTTCTCATTAGTATATGACTATATACGACATAAATATTTTGTAGATCCGAATTCATACTAATAGTTGGAACACGGGTTGGGTCGGGTTCTACGGGTTTGTGTAATACAAAATCCAAACCCAACCCAAAGGAAGCGGGTTGTACAAAAGAAAAACCTCACCCAACCCAAAACTTTCGTTTTAGCGATAAATACGGGTGGGTTGGGTCGGATTGGACGGATGGATCGGTTTGCGGGTGTGTTTGTTCACCCTATATATATCTACCTATCGACCCCTCTTCAAAGGTCGACGAACTCTCTGCCATCTCACATTTCCATTTTCTCTTCCGCCGCCGGAACAAGAAGAAAAAACAGAGCAGGGAAATGGCGAATGGTGCTGAAATCATGGTGCAGAAGAAAGATGGAGGAGAGGAAGAGAATATGGCCGCTTGGCTTCTCGGTGTCCAAACCCTCAGGATTCAGCCTTACCAGCTCCCTCCCCTCGGTAAAGTTGTCTCCTTTTAACCCAGTTCTCTTAAGCCCTCGAGTTCTTTTCCAAATTGTTGTGAGTACGTACGCATGATGTGTTGAGTACGTACAGCTTGGAGTGGACTTAGTTGTCAGCTTATGTTTGTTTAATAGCCTTTGTGTAATTTGCCAACCCTAGCTGATGTTGGCGGGTTTGGCAGATATATATTTGCCTTGCTGTAGCCGTGATGGTCTTGTACAATTGTCAAGAGAAAACCTAATAACAGTATAGCCGAAGACTCCTTGAGTGGGTCTTCCGTGGATTAGTCTCGTTCATATGAACGAGGATACCACGTAAATCGTTGTGCCGTGTTTTCATTGTTCGTATTTTACATGGTATCAGAGCTGTGAATCGATTCACACCGTTTTGTTTTGCACGTCATGAGTTCCGATGACGAGAAGATGAAGTCTGCTGCGTCCGAGTCGTCGACCAAAGGGGGGGCTACCGTCGGAGATGTGTTTCCTCCGGCTTACCTCCTCACGAACTCAGACAGCCCTAATCAAGTTTTTGTTGGCGAACTTCTCACCGACGTCAATTATGGTGAGTGGCTCGGAGATATTACTGATTCCTTTGTTGCAAAGAATAAGATGGGTTTTGTTGATGGTTCTATCCCTCAACCGGTGGCTGGTCCTCTCCGTGATCAGTGGAATCGCTGCAATGCGATGGTTAAAGGCTGGTTAAAGGCCGCTATGAGTAAGGAGCTTCGCACCAGTGTCCGTTTTGCCCGTACAGCTCGCGAGATATGGCAGGACCTTGAGGCTCGTTTCGGTCAGGGCAGTGCTCCGAGGTTGTATGAGCTGCGCAAGATGATTGCCTTGCTGCAGCAAGAAAAATCGAGTGTATCCGGTTTCTACACGAAACTTCGTGGTTTATGGGATGAAATTCAGTCTATTTCTCCAATTCCTGAATGTCATTGTGGAGGCTGCAGTTGTGACATTCAGCGGCAGTATCGGGAAACAAAGAATAGCGAACAGCTCTTTGATTTCTTGATGGGTCTAGATGAGGCTTTCTCCACCGTCAAGACCCAGATTTTGGCTATGCGCCCTATTCCCAGCCTGGCCGAAGCTTATCACCTCGTTACCAATGATGAACAACAGCGTCGCATTGCTAGCGCTCGCCGTCCCGTTGTCGAAGCAGCCGCATTTCATGTCCAGGACGAGCGCCCCTCCCAGCGCGCCAGTACTGGTCGTTCTTCTGACTCCAACAAGCCGCGATATGTTTGTGATCATTGCGGCAAGACAGGGCATACAAAAGACCGCTGTTATGAACTTATTGGTTACCCCGAGCGTGGCGCTACCAAGGGTGACAAGGATGGACGCCGCAAAGAGAGACCCTCTCGTGGCAAAGGGGGACCTCGGGCTGCTCAGGTGGGTGTTAATGAGAGTCCCATTCCAGGTTTGAGTGCAGCTCAGTTTGATCAACTCAAACTGCTTTTCGGTGGAGATTTGAAGGCTGCTTCCACCGTTGACACTAAGATGACAGGTAATTTCCTGCCCTCTTCTCTATCCCGTGATGAGTGGTTAATCGATACGGGTTGCAACGAGCATATCGTCAATGATCCCCAGCTTATTGTTAATTCCCATCACGACTCGGCTTTGCAAGTTAAGGTTCCCAATGGCTCGGCTATTGATGTTCATGCGGTCGGGTCTGTTCGGTTGTCTAATGGCATGACTCTGCCACGTGTCTTATTGGTTCCAGAGTTTAAATGCAACCTTCTGTCTGTTAGCCAACTTACCCGAGATTTTTCTTTGGCTTTGATCTTCTTGGGCGACTTCTGCGTGATACAGGACTTACGCTCGAAGATGATTATTGGGACGGGGACACAGAATGACGGGCTTTACTACTTGCGCTTATTTGCTGGTCTCCGCACAGAGATGGCGTGCGCATCTCGCCGAGTAGTGCCAGCAGACCTATGGCACATGCGTCTGGGTCACCCGTCATCAGAGAAGCTTGATTTGCTGAAGTTGTTTTCCAGTTCTCATACTCAGAATAAAGCGCTTTGCTCCTCTTGTTTACGAGCAAAGCAGCCTAGATTGGCTTTTCCCTCGAGCACTATTCATAGCAGTAGACCTTTTGAACATATTCATGTTGACATTTGGGGTGGCTATCGAGTTCCTTCTTTGAGTGGTGCACAATATTTTCTTACTGTGGTTGATGATTTTACTCGTGGGGTGTGGATTTACTTACTCAAGTTCAAATCTGAGGCAGCAAAATACTTGAAACTGTTTGTTCGACAGGCTTCGCGGCAGTTCAATCAATCGGTCAAGGTTATTCAGACCGATAATGGGACAGAGTTTCAGTCGGGAGAGATGCTTGATTTTTATCTTGATGAGGGTATCCGGCTTCAGACGTCGTGCACGGACACCCCACAGCAGAACGGCGTGGTTGAGCGCAAGCATCGCCATATCCTTGACACTGCTCGTGCTCTCCGTTTTCATGCGAATCTGCCGAAACGGTTTTGGGGTGAGTGCGTCCTCACCGCTGGTTACTTGATCAACCGGCTGCCTCATCGTGCTCTTGCTAATCAAACCCCCTACGAACGCCTGTTCAATCGTCGTCCTTCATATGATCACCTCCGTGCTTTTGGTTGTTTGGTTTACTCGAAAGACACGCATTCTCACTTGGATAAGTTTGGTGAACGTGGGAGAGCGTGTGTTTTTCTTGGATATCCCTCTTCTCAAAAGGGGTACCGCGTGTATGAGTTGTCGTCACATCGCATCTTCACCTCGCGGGACGTGGTTTTTGACGAGTGTACTTTTCCCTTTCACTCCGTGGCTGCTGGTGTCCAGCCTCCTGCCATACCCACGTCGCTTTCACCGCCGGCAGATGATGATCTTCCCCAGCCGGCTCCCGCTGCCACCCCGAGTCTCGCTGCGGACGTCGAGCCCCCATGCAGCCCATGCATCCCTTCAGGGGGCGCCACCGTCGAGGAGCCTCCCCAGGACGAGCTGTCGTCCACTTCTCCTCCCCCCGCTGCGACTTCACCAGCTCCCCTTCGTCGGGGCGATCGCCAGCGAAGACCAAATGTCCGGCTCCAAGGTTATGAAACTTCACTCCCTACCTCTCATACTGCGATCACCTCTAAGTATCCATTGTCAGCTTATGTGACTTTTCATAGACTATCTCCTAATCATAAGGCTTTTGTGGCAGCTATTGACACATTAGTGGAGCCGAAGTTTTTTCATGATGCTGTTAAATATGCAGAATGGCGCGACGCCATGCAACGCGAGATTGATGCTCTTCAGGCCAATGGTACTTGGGATTTGCAGGAGTTGCCTCCGAATAAGAAGGCAATTGCAGCTAAATGGGTCTACAAAATAAAGTTTCGCCCAGATGGTACCGTGGAGCGCTACAAAGCGCGCTTAGTCGCTAAAGGGTTCACCCAAATTGAGGGCGTGGACTATCATGATACCTTCGCCCCGGTTGCAAAATTGGTTACTGTACGTTGTGTTCTATCTGTTGCTGCTCACCGCGGCTGGCACCTACATCAATTGGATGTCAACAACGCCTTTCTCCACGGTGATCTGCACGAAGAGGTCTATATGAAGCTTCCCCCGGGTTTTGCTCGACCGGGGGACACCAGGGTATGTCGTCTTCGCAAATCTCTCTATGGTCTTAAACAGGCTTCGCGGAACTGGTATATGAAGTTCACTCAGTCTCTACAGCAATTCGGTTTTCAGCAGTCGAAGGCTGACCCTTCTCTGTTTCTGCTGCGCCGGAATGGTGGTTTTACCTTTGCTCTTATCTATGTCGATGACATAATTCTTGGTGGGGATCATCTAGAAACTATTCAACATGTGAAGGATTTTTTGCAAGCACAGTTTAGCATCAAGGATTTGGGTGTACTCAAGTATTTCTTGGGCATCGAGGTGGCGCGTTCGCGTCATGGTTTGGTTTTATCTCAGCGGAAATATGCTCTCGATATTCTCAAGGACGCCGGCGCACTGGGTGTTAAACCGTGTGCTTTTCCCATTGAACAGAACCATCATCTCACCCGGATTGAAGGCCCTGCAGCCAAAGATCCATCTGGTTTTCGACGACTCGTTGGTCGTCTGCAGTATCTGACAGTTACACGGCCAGACATTGTCTATGCTGTTAATATCCTGAGTCAGGCTGTTCACTCTCCCCGACAGCAGCATGAGGATGCTGCGCATCGTGTTCTCCGGTACCTCAAGGGTTCGCCTGGCCGTGGTCTTCGTTTTCCCACCAGTGGTTCACTGCGTTTGACTGCTTACTGTGATTCTGATTGGGGTGGTTGTCAACACTCCCGGCGCTCTACTACTGGTTATTTCATTCGTTTAGGAGATTGTCCGGTCTCTTGGCGGACGAAGAAGCAGTCTGTTGTCGCTCGGTCTTCCGCCGAAGCTGAGTACCGTGCCATGGCTAGCACGGTGAGTGAATTACTCTGGCTTCGTTGGCTTCTCAACGAGCTCGCTGTCCCCGTCGATTCTCCTACTCCACTGCATTGTGACAATCAAGCAGCTTTGCATATCGCTGCTAACCCTGTTTTTCACGAGCGGACAAAGCACGTGGAGATGGACTGTTATTTTGTCAGGGAGCGCGTGACCTCTGGTGAAATAGCTCCTCGAAAGATATCCTCTCATGACCAGTTAGCTGACATGTTCACCAAAGGCTTAGGTGCTGATCAGTTCTCGTTTCTCACTTCCAAGCTTGGCCTTCATGACATTCACGCCATCGCTTGAGGGGGCGTGTTGTGAGTACGTACGCATGATGTGTTGAGTACGTACAGCTTGGAGTGGACTTAGTTGTCAGCTTATGTTTGTTTAATAGCCTTTGTGTAATTTGCCAACCCTAGCTGATGTTGGCGGGTTTGGCAGATATATATTTGCCTTGCTGTAGCCGTGATGGTCTTGTACAATTGTCAAGAGAAAACCTAATAACAGTATAGCCGAAGACTCCTTGAGTGGGTCTTCCGTGGATTAGTCTCGTTCATATGAACGAGGATACCACGTAAATCGTTGTGCCGTGTTTTCATTGTTCGTATTTTACACAAATCGAAGATTAATCTGGGGCGTTTCGTGAAAACTGGCTGGGTATTTCGTAGTTCAAAAGGCATTCCTCTATGCCGATTCCATCCTCAAATTTTGTGACTGGAATGTTGAACCCAAAATGAAAAGAGAAAAGTTTGATAATGACCCTTTGTCTCATCATGGATTTGCCGGTCCTTAACCTTTTGCTCCATCTATTCGTCTCTGCCTCTTTGTAGGTCCTCATGATGTCAAAGTTAGCATAAAGGCGCTTGGCATTTGTGGAAGTGATGTTCATCACTTCAAGGTGACAAACAAAATCAAAAACCCAATTGGCTTCTTGCCTCTTGGTCTCTTCCTGTTAAACCCCTCAAGAAGTTGAACTGTTTCGTTCTGTCTTCATGTTGTTGTGCGCTCTGTTTTGAACAGACGATGAGATGCGCTAATTTCATAGTGAAGAAGCCAATGGTTATTGGCCACGAATGTGCTGGGATCATCGAAGCCATTGGGAGTGAAGTGAAGAACCTTGCTCCTGGCGACCGTGTGGCCTTGGAGCCTGGGATCAGCTGCTCAAGATGTAACCTCTGCAAGAATGGCCGCTACAACTTGTGTCGTGAGATGAGGTTCTTTGGTTCTCCACCAACCAACGGCTCTCTTGCCAACAAGGTGAAAACACACTCCTCCTTGCTTCTGCTAGAACTCTTTTGCTATTGGGGGATACTAATCAGGTTCCTGCTGCAATAGGTTGTGCACCCGGCGAGCCTATGCTACAAGCTGCCCGAGAACGTGAGCTTGGAGGAAGGAGCAATGTGCGAGCCCCTCAGCGTCGGTGTTCATGCCTGTCGTCGAGCACAAGTAGGACCTGAGACAACTGTACTGATCTTGGGAGCAGGGCCCATCGGCCTCATCACCTTGCTGGCTGCCCGTGCATTTGGAGCCCCTCGTGTTGTGATGACTGATGTCGACGAGAGCCGGTTGGCCATTGCCAAGAGCCTCGGTGCTGATGAGCTCATTCAAGTCTCAACTGAAATGAAGGTCTGGTCCATATTCGAAAACCATATATAAGTTCGTTTCTTCAACATGTATGGCGACTAATGTGCCAAGTGAATGTGTTTGACAGGATGCTAGTGAGGAAGTGGTGAACGTGCAAACTGCAATGGGTTCAGGGATAGATGTGACATTTGACTGTGTTGGGTACAACAAGACCATGACTACAGCTCTGAACGCGACTCGTTCTGGTGGCAAAGTTTGCCTCATTGGTTTAGCTCTGAGTGAGATGACCATTCCACTCACACCAGCTGCTGCTAGGTAATCAGCCATTATTACTTTGATAACTAACATCATGACACTATTGGATACAAAAGGGATGGCTGCTGAAAGAAGCTCGTTGTTATGGTGTTGCAGGGAAGTAGATGTGATTGGGATATTCCGATACCGGAACACATGGCCGCTCTGCCTCGATTTCTTGAAGACAGGCAAGATTGATGTGAAGCCACTGATTACTCACAGGTTTAAGTTCACTCAGGAGGATGTAGATGCTGCTTTCGAGACTAGTGCTCGTGGTGGGAATGCCATCAAATGCATGTTTAATCTCTAAGCAAATCGATTTATGGGTGTAGGCTGGGTTTAGGGCTCGAGCTATTGCCGAGATTTCTCCTCTGGTATGTTTCTGAGATCGGGGTGGTATGTGAGGAAAGCTAAATCCAAAAAAGTCTTGTACCCAGTCGCTAAACAATAAAGATGCCTCCTCGGGCAAATCATTTCCACATTTTCTTTATGCTACAAAAGCCAAGAACTCAATATGTCCGACGAGCACTAAAATGATGCCATGAACCGGCAAAAACAGGGGATGCATCTAACCAGTACTTGAAGCTTTAAGGTCTACATCTAACCATTGGTGAACCAAATAAAAAAAAAAACCAGAAGATGATCAGAGGCGAGTAATGAAATCACTAGGAGAAAACTGTGAAAAAGAGTGAAAGTTATGGACTTTACTTGCGCCTGCCTCCTCCAAAACCGCCAGAAGAGCTGGTATCATGGTGGCCATTGGGCGGCTCATCTACAGCAATGCCGTCAGTGGAGCAAACGCTGGAGCCGCAAAGTTGAGAGTAACTCCAGTCTCACCAACCGACAACTTGGTCCATCGAGAAAAGGAGAGTCGTTTGAAATGAGTGAACCAATGCTTGCTTACTAGTAACTGCAATTATTGATCAAAAGTTAGCACATTTACAACACCAATCTTTAGGAATGACTATATTCCAAATGAGTTGAAGCCAAAGCACCCTGTGATAGACCTAACAATACGGATTTTGTCATCTACCCCCTAGTACAAAGTTAGGGCCGGGTGTGCAATCAATGCAATAGAAAATGGACCCGTCGGTCGCCAACAATCTAGATTTTGTCGTCTACCTCTTATTGCAAAGTTGGGGTCAGGTGGGCTACTGAAAAAGACGGTAAAAGGACAATCCAGTGGATCTTTGATGTACCTGTGAGCTGTGACAGTGGAAGAACAATCACTGCAAGAGAAAATGGACCCGTCCATTCGCCAACCAATGTTACAGTTGCCCCTCCCAATCCTCAGGACCAAAAGATTGTGGCTTTCCTCCAATCTCACAGCAATTTCAACAAGGCTGGATGGTCCTGCCTTGTGCTGTGGCTGCCCAAGCGAGGCCAAATTGATCGAACCATCTTGATAGCTGCCGGTGACGTGGAAGATGGCGAGCTCTAATATTACTTCCCACAAACAGTGCTGCTCAGTTGGTCGTCTCATGAAAACAACACAAGATCATTTTACAGAAGAATCTACAGTGTCCGTATGATGAGAATGACCAGACCCATCTCCATCATTCCCTTCAATGGAGCTCCAACCAGAAGGCTTCCCCACAGTTCTTTCCCCCATTAATTTCCTCACTTGGTCAGCATCTTCCCACCTGTCTGAACTTGCATAAGCGTTCGATAAGAAAACGTAATTCCCACTGTTGAAAGGATCCAACTCGAGGAGCTTCTTCGTGACAATCTCAGCTAACCCTAAATTACTATGGAGCATACATGCACCTAACAAAATTCTCCATATCACAACATCTGGAACTATAGGCATTGTTTTTATAAACTCGTAAGCTCTCTCTAAGTTACCTGAGCGGCTCAAGAGATCCACAATACATCCATAATGTTTCATCTCTGGCTTTAGACCGTAGACCTTCTCCATGGTTTCAAGATATTCCAATCCTTTATCTACCTGTCCGGAGTGTTTGCAAGCGATTAAAATTCCAATGAAGGTACCGTGAGTTGGATGTATACCTTCTCTAAGCATTCTGGAGAAGATGTTAATTGCATCATCAGAAAGACCATTGACAGCTAGCCCAGAAATGATAGATGTCCACGAAACACCGTCCTTGTGTTTCATTCCATTAAACACATCAAGTGCTTTCTCAACTGCACCACACTTGCAGTACATATCTACTAAGGCATTACTTACAAAGACATCTTCTTTTATGCCGTGTTGACGAACATAGTCATGAATTGCCTGCCCAACATCAGCAGAGCCCAAGTGAGCACAGGCAGAGAGTACACTAGCTACTGTGATCTCATCAGGTTTTATATTAGCTCCCATCATATCTTGGAAAGTTTTGACTGCATCAGAAAATTGGTTAGCTTTACAATACCCTGTAATCATCGAAGTCCATGATATGACATCTCTTCTAGGGGTATCCTCGAAAATTTTCCTAGCAGCAACCAAGTTCCCTGACTTTACATAGGCCCTAATCATTGCATTCCAAGATACTGTATTCCTCGCTTGCATCCTGTCAAAAACTCCCCGAGCTAAATCCACTGAGCCACGCTGGCCATACATACCAATCAGAGCATTGCCTAAATAAGCATCAATCTCTACTTTGTTGTCTTCAATGTACTTGACCATTAAATCTGCTGTATGCTGATCCTCTAAGTGAAGACAAGCCAATATGGCTTTGACCATTGTCACAGCATCAGCCTTCAAATTGGCTCCCTGCATCAAATAAAATATACCCAAAACCTCCTTAAACCTTTTGCATTCGGCATAAGCACAGATCAAAGAGTTCCAAGAAACCAAGTCTCTCTGCCCCATTCCATCGAACACCTTACGTGCAGGCACGCAATCCCCCAAAGAGCCATACATATGTATCAAAACATTTGACACAGACAAATCCGAATCACACCCAAGTTTCAAACAATGGGCATGAAACAATTGACCAAGCAAGACATCCCCAATACGACCGCACGACTTGAACAGGAAGATCATCGTCAGAGTATCCCCAACAATTCCCTGGCGATACATTTGGTTGACGAACATTTCAATCGCATCCATAGGTTGATAGAGCGCCAACCCCCGGATCAAGTGATTGAAAACTGGCCTCGTCGGGAACTGGATTTGGCTGAAGGCGAGACGGGCTTTGTCGAAATGAGACGGAGACAGAGCGTACCATTTGATAACGTCGGACATTGCGTGTGGGTCTGGTTGGAGTCGGAGTTTGATGAGTTGCGCGTGCTGCGCTTTGACCGAGTTGATGGGAGCTTGACCCTCCACGGTTCGCTTTAAGATATGCGAAGTGGGTCTTGGCAGCTTCATCGGAAAGGAAGACGGCCACGATTAAGCGCCAAATTCAAATCGAAAACCCATTGCCCTTTTCCCCACCAGCCCCGAAGTAATTCAATGGTGGGTAACCAGTGCGGCAGTACCCAGTGCTCTGAGCCTGAGGGTATAGTGTAGAAATCGTTGCTTCAGCGGGCGAACTCTGAAGTCCTGCGGCCTCGTATTTCCAACTTCCGGGAGGAATTCGCCAGCGAGTTGAGATTCGTCGGCTCTCGCTCAGGCGAGGCGAGATTCCAGTTGGGGACTGTGAAAGCTTAATTCAATCGTTTTACAGGCCCATTGAGGTCATATTGGGCCTGTATGGGTTCAAAACCTTACGAAGTCTGATGCATAAGTGAGAAGGCCTACCCTTTGTCCTAATGGCGCAGGCCGGTCACTGTTGGTCCATCAACAGCATGTCTGGCCTGTTACTTTTTTTTACTGGGTTTCTCTCTCATTTTTTTATTCAAGGATTGTATCCGTCTATGTTCACATGTGGGTTTGCTTCAAGTATGGTTTGAAGGAGACACCAAAGAGATTATTGACAAGGTCAACGCTGGAGTCATTTGGAGTTGTAAGGGTGGCACGGTGTTGGCAGAGATCAAGAGTCTTCTTGGTGGTCGTCATCAGTTCGTGTGTTCGATTTGTTGGCATGGCAGGCAACGCAATAAGGTAGCACACCATGTAGCTAAAATGTCCTTTCTTTGTTTTTTGTATGATGTTCAGGTTTTGATTTCGGCTCTTTGTAAGAATATGGTATAAGATCCAGCATAACCTTCTCCCAACAACTTGAGTTATTGGGATCAACTGGTTCTTGACATGGTATCAGAGCCTGGTCTACTCGAGTTATTGGGAGAAGGTTATGCTGGATCTTATACCATACTCTTACACTCTTAGGGGTCGTTTGGAGAACGAGATTTAGGGCGTGGATTCATTGAATCCGTAGATTTCTACAAGTTATGTTTTTTGTTGCTTTTTTTATTGTGGATTTTAGTTTTAGAGATTTCAAATCTCTAAAATTTACGGATTTCAAATATCTCATAATCAGAGAGATTCTATATACTGATTCGTGAAATTTTTTTCTCCTACCTTTTCTCTTTCTTTTATTTATTTATCATATTAAATATATTTATCAACAAAGTTTTTAATATTTCTCGAACCACTCTAATTTTTTATTAAGGATAAACATGTTATTTAATATAAAATTAAACTTTTATTTTCATTGATGTTAACAATCACAATTACTAAACAATAAAAAATTTAAAATATATTTTTAAGAGTTAGAATTTTTAGATTGTTGACAATCTATAGATTTAAACTCATATTTTCCAAATGACCCCTTAATTTCGGTCAGAAGTAATTGCAATTTAACTGTTTGTTCCTTGTTAATACAAGTGATCATTTCGTTAAGAAATTCGTTAAGACAAAGGAAGAAAAGTTTTATTAGGCAAAATTGGGTACCGATTAAGCACCACAAGAATAAAGTTAATGTTCCATCCGTCAATCTTCTTCAGCTTTCAATCCTGTTATAAATCGCTCGCATAAATCCGTCATTTTGAGTTACACTGTTGCTGAAAATAACAAGAGGAGTAATTAGAGCCAGCAATGTTTATGATATTTTTTTTTATCACTTCACCATTCTCCATCCAATAATGCAATAGTTGTTGCTACTGCTAAAAAAGGTGGAGACAGTAGACACAGTGAAGAAATTCAATTAATCTTACTCCGTTTTTTTTTTTCTCTTCTTCTTACGAGACGTGTCACAATTGTTGATTTTTTTTTCTTTCAAAAGACTGAAAACTCGTATTGAAAACTGGCCTAACATTTACCATCATAAAGAGGATATCCCATTTGTAGGGATGAGCCGTTTTTGGGTTAACATTCACTACCCAAGATTTTGATGGAGGATGGAAAAATGACCTACATCCACCCTTTTTATCATTACGGGTGGAGCTGGAAAATCGTCTGATCAAACTAGACCGGATTAACTCGATAATCGGATGCAAGAGAGTCGATAACTATTAATCATAGTTTATTGCATAGTTTAACATTAATTATCTCATTCATGAAAATAAATAAATTTATCTGTAGTTATCATATTGTTTAAAATAATTACGTATAATTTATATAGTAAGTCAAACAAAATTTACAAAATAATAATAATTTAATTTATTTAACCATGATTAATATTTTGAGATATAAAAAAATATGTATATTATTATAGAATGTAAATAAGTGACACAATATGTCCAGTAGTTTTGTGAATTAATTACTCAGTAGCCACCCTCCCAAGTTTTAGGAGTAACAAAAAAAAAAAAAGATTCACATCATATTCATCCAAACACGCATTGAATCTTTGAATGTGTTATGATTGTGTGAAATCGGATCGATTTAGTGGTTGAGATTTGAGAACACCTATTGAATGGGTGATAATTGTGTAGAATCGAATGAGTTTACTGGTTAACCCACCCCATTGCCCATTCCTACCCAATTGGAACAAATGCACATAATAAAAGGAAAGCTATAATTTCTTTCAGTGTTGGTCATTAACCCACATCATACAACTGCTGATTAAATATTTCGAATGGATGGATGCTGACTAATCTCATTTTTATTCCACGATTCTTTCATATTGTAAATTGACCTACTAATCAAATAGTTTATTATTGTACATTGATTCCCTCACGGAAGAATCCCACTTAATTTTTTTCTGCTGGACAAAATTGACTGGCCTTATTTTTCAGACAAATAAATTTGGAATGATTAATTGAGAGAAAAAGAAGCATGACTAGCAAAGAGATGACGACTGACAATGATTCAGCCATTGGTGGTTTAAGTTTCAATATATGTGTATGGGTTAGGTTAACCCGAAATTTGGTATCCTGTCGTTGGGGATACATCATCCTAACGTACGTACTCGAGTCGAGTTTAGTGGATGGAAAACAAGACCTCAACCAAGATGAGGTTTATTGATATTATTTAACATAACCATACCAACAAATCATACAGAAGCAATCATTTTCATGTGGTCAACTACTCCCCTTCGAAAGGAAGTTGTTCTTTAATTTATGCAAGTCAAACAGGAAAGAAAAGGAAGAGTTGTTATACGTTGTCTATGAATTTGTTAAGGTTGCTTCAGAATCATATAGTGTGTTTTGGAGTATGCATGTAGCTCAAGAGATTATTTCCCCGTGAATTGGCAGATAAGTTAGCGGAATGGTTAGTGATGATACGATATATGATTTTAGGGATTTCCTACGGTAACTTAAAGTAAGATAACTTGAATTTTTTTACCTGCGATAGCAGGTTTCACAGGTCGTATTACGTAAAATACAATAGACATTACGTAATATTTACGTAACATATGGTAATCTTACGTAACAGTTGTAAAAGATCATTACGGAAGCCTTACGTAATAGAATGTGTTTTTACGTAATGAGTATTAACCTCGCGTTACGTAAAATGTTAAGTCATTACGGAAGCCTTACGTAATGCTACTTATTTAACTGTTACGTAAGTAATAACTTTCGTTATGTAACCTTTACGTAATAGAAGGTCTTTTTACGTAATGAGTATTAACCTCGCGTTACGTAAAGTGTTAAGTCATTACGGAAGCCTTACGTAACACTTCCGATTTAATTTTTACGTAAGAAATAACTATCCTTTCGTAACCTTTACATAATGAATGTGTATTTTACGTAACAGTTGTAAAATGTCATTACGGAAGCCTTACGTAATGGAAGGTCTCTTTACGTAATGAGTGTTAATGTCGTGGTACGTAAAGAGCTAAGTCATTACGAAAGTTTTACGTAACGCTTCTGATTTCACTGTTATGTAAGAAATAACTATCATTCCGTACCCTTTACGTAATAGAAGGTCTCTTTATGTAATGAGTATTAACCTTACGTTACGTAAAGTGCTAAGTTATTACGGAAGTTTTACGTAACGCTTGTAATTCAATAATAATTAAAATAAGGAAAGGGTAAAAAAAGGAAAGCAAATAAATTTGAAAAAGGAAAGGAAAAAACAAAGAATGGTAACTTACGTGGGTGGTGACCGGCCACCCCTTGTTGCCAATGATTTTTTAGTTATTTTTTTATTTTTTATTTCTTTAACCAATGGTTTAAAATCAATTTGATCGATTTTAATGGTTTAGATATATATAAGTTATCTAACTTGAAATTATACCCAAGTAACTGTAGGAGGTCCCTATGATTTTATTGGGGGCAATACCGATAAGATTTCATTGGTAAAATAATACTAAAGAAATATAATATATTCAACCAACAATGTATTGATATGATATCAAACAAATCAGGAGGTATAATATATAGGTAGTCAGTTCGGCTACATTGTAACGAGGGTACAAACTTTTCATGTATAATTAATATTTGTGTACCATACTAACAATGTTGTCAGGAGATGATTAATGTGATTCAACTGACAGTACGATACGTTACAGACTTACAACAAATCATATGAAAAATAGAAGATTTTGCAAATTATGAGAAGTCAAATCCAGACCCACCCGTACTACTGTTTTCAATCTATAACCCATAAACTTTCACACACTCATCACACCATCTACCACACCTGGCCTTCTCTCTTTTTGCCGTCCTATCAAAAGTTTGGCCGACCAAACTAGTAAATCACTGCCCCTCATTCCATCTCATTCTGGACAAACGAATCAAGACACAACAATTCCTCAATCCTCATACATGAATCCAAACTAAAGCAGTTTACCAATCTCGTCACCCTGAAGCCCTTCAGGGTTCCCCAATGCTGTAGGCCATCCGGCCCCTCGGAAAGTCCAAATTGGTGCCGGCCTAGATAGGGCTCTTTAGGGTTGGGGTGTAAGGTTGACCCAGAATATCCACAGATCCGTTTCGATACGGCTCGTCCTTGAGGGTCGAAACGGGTTAGTTTGTCTATAAGGTTAGATTAGGGACGAATTATTTGTTGACCATGTAGTAAGGGTCGGGACGGGTACGTAGGGA